AGCGAGCGCCGAAGCCGCGGCGCTGGGACCGGGGAACGCGCTGGAGACGCGCGGCGGGGGGCTCAGGGCTGCAGCGGCGGCGGAGCGGGGCGACCCCATTTGGTTAACTCTTCGGAGCGAGTGGCTAGCCTGCATTCGAGACGCCTGCTCGAGACCCCGGAAACTTGAGCCGGGGTGCCACGCCGCCGGCGGCCCGCTGGCTCCCGCAAGTCGCCCCTGCGAGCCGAGCCTGCGCGTACCGGGTCTCAGAAACGCTCTTGCGCCGAGGCCTTTCGCCGGACCTGTTGCGAGACTGCAGATGAGGAGCGGAAGGCCGCGGGGGAAAGTGGAGGCGCGAGAGCGATCCCTTCCTGTGCCATCCTCAGCCCCGGACGTAGGGCTGGGCCGCCAGCGGCCAGGGCGAGCGAGGCGTCGGCTCTGGCTCCACTCCTCCCGGAGCGCTAAACTCCGTCGAGCTCGGGAAGCCTCCAGGCCTCGCAAGGGTGTTTCGCTGCCCCGTCCGGCCATTGGACAGTCTAGGGCCCATCTTGTTTATGTGGCAGCGACTGGAGAAAGTGCCCCTGCGGGGCTTCCTGTTGGGCGCTGGCCCCAACTCGGCAGAGAGACGCCGGGAGAGGGCCCGCGGCCGCCTGGCGCCCGGGCTGCCTCCGCTGGGGACGCGCCCGGCCCCGAGGCGTGCGGGCTCCGGGCCTGCGTTCTCTGTGAGGCTGGAGGGAGGGAGGGGACCGCCGGTGGCTGTGTTGATTGTTATGTGGTGCCTCTCGCACGGTCCTGACAGTTCCCTTCGGTTGCTTGTGTGGCTGGAGGAACCTTTAGCTCGTGGCGCTAGCAGTTATTTGTAACCACTTTCCAAAAAGTGAAGCCAAGGCCAAAGCCTTGAGAAAGTACTTAGAAAAAAGGTAGAAAGTGGTGGACTGGGGTCGTGTCGCAGAAAATAATCGAGAGGAGTGGAAAGTTCAGAAACAGATGTCCACTGGCTGAAACCTCTAGCCTTGCCTCTGCCTTTTCTTTACCAATAGTTAACTCCCCACAAACAAGCCATCAAAAAAGCGCCGATCGCACCCACTCCTACAGAAAAGTGTTATGGCTTTCGTTTGTTTTAAATTTGGGCTGCAGCCTTCGCAAGTGTGGCCCCCCATTATCCCACTTCCGGGGTGTCGTGGAAGATGTTAGTAACCCTCAGCCGCTGAAAGACTTCCCTAGTATGAGATTGGCACCAGGGTGTGAGTGCCACTGGCCACCTAAGCCATTTCATTGCGTAATTCCCAGTTATTTTTCCAGAACACTAAAATGAGAAAAACACACTCAAATTTCAAAGTCGCTGTCACTAGAAGCACTATTTTCCTCATGGTTTTTAAGTTTAGCAGAGCTGTCAATACCTCCTGCCTGCCCAAACAGTAGGACAGATCTCCTTTTCCATCCCACCCTTCAAAGCAGTCTACTACTAAGAAACTCTTCAGGGGTCCTGAAAAACCTTCTCATAATTGTGGTTATTAAGGGATGCACCAGTGATATTACTCATTCCTGCCTTTCCAAAGAGGAGAAAAAATCAAAATGGCTTACATATACAAAGTGCTTTCAGTGCATCCACTAAGTGCATTATCTCGCAGGTATATGAGTAAACTGAGGCAGAGAGGAGTTAAGAAATTTATCCCTGAAGTTGATCAAGTCTTTTCAGTGACCTTATTTTCAAAGTTTGTTTCTCTAATTTTATGGCAATATGCTATTTTCTGAAAAATTTTCATTTATTTATTTATTTTTAAAGTCATTGTCTCAATCTGTCACCCAAGCTAGAGTGCAGTGGCACAGTCTCCGCTCACTGCAGCCTCAACCCCTGGGCTCAGGTGATCCTTCTTCCTCAGCCTCCTGATTATCTAGGACTACCAGCATAGGCCACCATGCCCGGCTAATCGTTTAGGAGAGGAGAGAGAGAGAGAGAGAGAGAGAGAGAGAGAGAGAGAGATTTTTTTTTTTGGTAGAGAAGAGGTCATGCTATGTTGCCTAGGTTGGTCTCAAACTCCTGGGCTCAAGCAATCCTCTCATTTCTGCCTTGGTCTCCCAAAGTGCTGGGATTACAACACCTGGCCAAAATCTTCTTTTTTAAAAAAGCAAAGAACTCCATTGAAATACTTTGAAAGTTTTCATTCATGTTAGAGTCCATTACACAACTTTCCTAAAAGGTTTTCTAATTTCTCTAAACTTTGTACTTCTCTTAATCTGCTTATTCTTAGTTTTGGACAAAAATGTGTGCATGGATATTTTGGAAATTTTCATCTGCTGCTCTTAGGAATACTTTGTTTTCTTTAGGCTTCACTACTGTATTTGTATTAGCAATCTAGGGTTAGTGCCATCAACAGTACTTATCCTGTTTACTGTTCGGATCCTGGATTTGCAAAGCACTTTAATCACATAATGCATTTAACTGACATACACATAAACGCTGTCATACATGTAAGCACATGCTGCAGAGTTCTCCTCAGTTCTTTCATTTCTTGGCCCACCCACCCACACTCCTCACCCTAAGCAGTGGCTCCAGTGGAGGAAAGGGGAATACAGAGACTTTGTAGGCCATGAGGGAAACACACATTACAGACTAGCTATGTTGTAACAGGCTTTTTTTTACTATGTGTAATTGTTGCAGGGAGAAAAATTTCAGGCTGTGAGATGTCAGATCTCTTATAATGAACATGATTGTAATGACGTTCTTCTCTTCTGTAATACACAAATATTTGGAGATGAGGAAGGGAAGTTAGAGTTATTGTTACTCTAAGCACAAAATGCTTTACACATGCTATATGCCAATAGTAAACAATATTTGAAACTATGGTAGAATGAGTCCTTTGAAACACCTTTGAGATGTAAGCTCTGAAGAAGCAAAGCTAACATAGAAGTTCCTAAATAAATCTCTGTCCTTCCTCCTCCCCCTTCCTTCCCCCATTCTCCCTTCCCCCTTTCTCTCCTTCTTCCCCTCTTTGTGTCTTTTTCTTCTCCCCCCACCCTGTTACTACACACACACAAACACACACACACATACATATACACCACACACATGTGTGCATACATTCACTTTCCAAGTATATTTTGGAAAATGTGTGTATTCTAAAATAAAGTATAACAGATTATGGGAAATCTAAAACTAAATAAAATTTTAAACTAGTGGGAAATGTAGCAGACTCTGTCATGAATGAGGAAGAGTTTAGAAGAGGCTTTGTACTTCTTTGAAAGGAATGTTTCCCATGAAATAAGCCGGGAAATCAGAGAAACAGAGTTTGGAAAGAAGGTCACAGAAAAGGCTGAAACAAATGCTCTCAAAGTGGCAGCAGACCTTTTAAAAGGTTCAGCAAGGTGGAATGTGTTCTTCAGTGACAGGTAGAAAATTCAGGTGTCTAAATTTAGCAAAAAGAAACCTTGGCAATTCTATACTCCTTCCTTTTCCCCATGTAGAATTCCTTTTATTGTATAAACTGAAGGAAGAGAAATTAAATAGTTTAATGATCTCAAGTTGGTTTTGTGAAAGAATGTAACTACCTTTAAGTGACATTTAAAATACTAACAGAAAGAAATTAAAAGCAGTTCTTAAAAGGCAGCTGGGATATCCTGTTAATGTATCTAAAAGTGAGCAAATTCCAAGATCATTTAAATACACTTGAAAAGGCTCTTGGAGTAAAACCTGGCAATGAAGATAATGGAGAAAGAATGGTCAAATACCTACTCCAAAGTGAGCCTCAGGGACACCACTGACAATAAAACTCACCAATCTTCGGGAGACAAGGTTTTTACAAAGCAGAAGGAGACAATTCAAAGCAATTGTGTGTCAAAAACACATACAAAAAATGTGTTCAAAACGCATTTTGTTGCAAAGCAATATATACAGCCTTTTAATAATGTAACTATTAAAAATGTTGTAGAGGCTGGACTCAGTGGCTCAGCCTGTAATCCCAGTACTTTGGGAGGCCAAGGCAAGTGGATTGCCTGAGCCGGTGTGTTCCAGACCAGCCCAGGCAACTTGGCAAGACCTTGTCTCAACAATAAATCAAAAATTAGCTAGGCGTGGTAGCATGCACCTGCAGTTCTGGCTACTTGGAAGGCTGAGGCGGAAGGATGGCCGGAGTCCAATAGGTCGATGCTGGGTGACCATGAGTGTGTCAAGGCACTCCAGCCTGGGCAACAGAGTGAGACTCCAACTTAATAAAAAAATTTAAAAGTTGTAGAAAATAAATATAAATCACAATGTTAAAAAAAGTTGTAGACATTATTGTTGTGCTCACTGCCATATCCCCAGCACCTGGAATAACAAGTAGAACTAGCACATGGTAGACCAACAAATGATCTAGAATGAGTGATTTTTTAAAAAATTGGAGTCTCACTCTGCCACCCAGGCTGGAGTGCAGTGGCACACTCACAGCCACCATGGCCTTGACCTGATGGGCTTAGGTGGTCCTTCCGTCTCAGCCTTTCAAGTAGCAGGAACTACAGGCATACACCACTACACCCGGCTAATTTTATGATTTTTTGTAGAGGCGAGATCTGACCATGTTGCCAGACTGGTAGAATGAGAGATTACCATCATTACATTGTTGGTAACAAAGTGCAATTTACAGTCACT